AGAAATCCACCTGTCTCTGCCTTCGAGTGCTGGGATCAAAGGCTTGCGCCACCACGCCCAGCTAAAAGTGGTATTGAAACAGGGAGAAAGAGGGTCCCCTAGAGGGTTCTTAGTCTCATTCATAAAAGAATTTAAGAATGGACCCAAATGGAAGCTTTTACAATTTTATTAGAATCTTAATGAAAAAATCCTCAGGGCAGGTGAGCTGGTAATCTTGGCAGCTGCCTTGAGGAGGTGAATAGTGGGAAGACGGAAAGAAAGCCATGGAGCCTGTGTGGGTAGAAATAGGAGAACTGGAAGTTCAAAGTCATCTTCAGCTTCTTGGCTACCTAGGGAGTTCAGGGCCAGCATGGGCTAGAGACTGTCTCAAACAAAAGTTTAAAAGGGTTTGCAAAGCTTAGAGATACAGCTCAGTGATACAGCACTTGCCTAGCATGTGCAAGGGCCTGGGTCAATCTCTAGCACTGCAATAATAATCATAATAGCAACAGTAGTAATAAATAATATAAAATGTTATGATAGAGCAGTTGGCTAGAATGCATGAGGCCTTGGGTTAGATCCCTAACAATACAATAGTAATAACAACAACAACAATAATAGTAAAGTAAAGGTGTTTTTATTCATTTTATAAGGCTGAGCAATAAAATCACAAACTCCCTGACTAAAAACCCACTTCATTTCCCTAGGTCAGAGTCTAGCTCATCTGAGCTTTCATGGAGGAAGGCATTATCAATGTGTCTGGGTCCTTTGTACCCAAGACATCTGCTCACTGCTCAGAACATACCTTTCATCTGTTTGTGTTAGCAGCTTGGGCCTGGTACCCCAGGGTCCCACCTTCCACATACATTTCATCCATTTCCAATCCATTAAGAGCTGAGAAGAATGCCTGTATACAGTCAAATACAAACTCTACTTAAGACTCACTTTTTTTTTGGTCTTTTGAGACAGGATCTCTCTGTAGCCCCAGCTGTCCTGGAACTCAGTATGTACACCAGGCTGGCCTTAAACTCACAGAAACTGGCCTGCCACCATGCGCTACCACGCCCGGCTTAAGACTCTTTTAAATGACATCCACCAGGTCTTGTGAAATCCCATGGAGCCCAGCTTGCCTTCCTAAGTGACTCCTAGGAGCCTGCCTGCCCATCTGTCTGCTGAGGCCAATTAGCGTTGACATGGTCAGTAGGGAATCCAAATGTGACTGTCCTTTCCCCTCACCAGGAATGAAACTATATATAACGATACTTGACTTATCTAGGATGGGAAAGAAACCCAGAACCTAGTCTGGGCAATTTCTGACTCCCCAGCTGTGCTCAGTACAGAATAGGTGGTCAGTAAATAGTTGCTGAATTTGATGGGCAAGAGAAAGATTTTAGTGAAAAAGGTCTTAAAGTCAGGTCCAGGGAGATGGTTCAGGATATAAAGGTACCTATCACCAAGCCTAATGGCCTGAGTTCCATCCCTGGGAACCACATGGTGGAAGGAGAGAACTGACTTCCACAAGTTGTCCTCTGATTTCCACATGCATGCCATGGCTCAGTACCCCGGGAATGACATCTAAGTCATCTTATCTTACATATGCCTATCTCTCTTGAATAAGGTACCGTGCATACCAGTGATGGCTGCAAGATTTGTGTTTCTTTCCTTCATTTCTGGAGGCAGGCAATGTTCTTTGTATTTTTCTAGGCTCAGGTTTGGAGAAAAATATTGTCTTCCTGGATTGCTTCTCAAAACTCTTGCTCCCTCTCATCCCCATTTTAGAGGATAGTGTTGAGACTTCAAAGTTTCTGTCTGCTACGGATGTGGCCAGTGAATGAAGATTTGGCTAGAAGTTAATAGGCTCAGGAAGATACCATTCTCAGGGTTTGGGATGCCGAGAGTTCGGAAAAACCAGACTTCTAGACCTCCTCGTGGGGACCAGGCGGAAACAGGTGGGGGAGGATTGGTGAAAGACAAGAAAACAGGCAGTTTAGCAAGATAAGGTAAACCCTGGAGCGGGGATGTGGGTACCAGGATCTGCTCTCAGCTGGGAGCCAGGATAGAGAAGAGCTGGTGCCAGGAGGGACTTCCCACCGCAAATGACATTTGGGCTGAACCCAAAGGAGTTAAAGTTCTTTGTGAGAACTATCAGCTATAGTATGAACTATCAGGTCATAGAAAATGAAATATAAACATCCAATAACAGAGAAGGCAAATCCAAACAAGAGAATACTCTTTTTGACATCAGGAATCAGCTAAAACTAAGACGTTAGTTGCAGGCAGCGCTGGCAAGTGCAGGGGACAGGAGCTCTCAACACGATTTGCAGGAAAAGGAGAAAGAGAGGAGACCTGTGGGATGCTGGGAAAACAATCTGGAAGCATGCCTGGGTTAAGCAAGCAATTTCAGCGCTAGAAATTTACCCAGATATACCCTCAAGTGTTCCCCAAGATGTATATGCCAGGGAAGACATTGGAGAAATGTGGCCTGCCGGGATCAGTGGCAAAATAATTCACCATACGTCTGCATAGGAAGAAAAGCGGCATACCACACAGGAAAAAAATGGAGTCCCTACCTAAGCCCTTTGCTATTCCTTACACCTAGCGTCTTCCCCACTGAGCCTGCGAGACTGCTGTCTGCCTGAACCCATCCTATTAAACCCCAACAGGGGCTCAGCGGTAAATGCAGAACAGTTGCTGTTAGTCAAGTTCTCAGGGAAAGCAGAAAGCCATTAACTTGCTAATGAAAGGGCAGGGCCCGTTGGGGAAAAACAGATTCCACCAGTTTTACTCAGGAACTGGCAAAATGGCTGGATGCTAAGTGTGACCAGTAAGATTAGAAAGGCCAGCCCTTGCTCAGCTGGGTGCTAAATGGGCATGCTCTGAACTCTAGCCCCACTCACTCTCTTGGTCTGAGGACAAAGATAGAATTCACCGTGGAACCCTATGGTAAAAGCAGGGTTTTGTTGCCTTTGTGTTTTGCGTTTTGAGATTTGCTCTTACCTTCGCCTGTTAATCCAGCACTTGGAGAAACAGAGGCAGGAAGATCACTCAGAATTCTAGCTCCAAGCCAGCCTGAGCTTCAATAAGACCCTATCTCCAAACAAACAAAAATAACAAAAACCCACAAGACACACACACTCAAAAGCAAGAAGCAACAAACACGTAGGTCTTGCTATGTAGCACAGGCTAGCTTTGAACTGGTGGTCCTCTTCTCTTGCCTTAGCCTTCCCAGTACTGAGATTTTAAGTGTCAGCCACGGTTCCTGGAGTCTGTCTCTTTTGAAACACTCTAATTTAGTTTCATATACATTCAACCACTGAACCAAAATTGAGTTGGCTTTTTTGTTTGTTTGTTTGTAGTTTTTGAGACAGGGTCTTGCCCAGGCTGGTTTCTATTGCACTTCAGTCCTCCGGCCTCCACCTCTCAAGTGCTGGGCTTACAAGGCAGTGCAGGAATGTTTGAGAAACAAGCATTTGTTTTTCACTGTCAGTGCCCCCCACCCCCAACCCCTTGTTACCACTTGGAGACAACAGTACCTACCGACCTACGCTCACTGTCCGCAGGCTCAGCATCTTTGTCCTGTTTAGCAGTGACCAAGCAAAGGTGGCTCTCCTAAGAGAGCTGAAATTCTATTCCCCCACTAGAGGCAGGAGCAACTTTGGGCAGTGGTCACAATGACAATCACTGTGGGGTCACTGTTACTGTTTCCCACAGAACCTAGTCCCAGTCTGCAAACCACCAAGAAGTCAACAGATCAAATGCCCACAAAATGGACAGCCCTTGCATCACCTTTGGGTCCTCAAAGCCCTCTTTGAGGCTTTGGCCTATGGCTGTCCACCCTGAACACATTTGCTTCCTCTGCCCTGGGTATCCATAGGGAATGAAGATTTTACAGTGGGCTTTGGTCCTTTGCATAGGAAGCAGAAAGGCTGGCCTCTCTGGGCTCTGAACTGAAACATCGCCCGAGCAGCAGCCTCTGTTCCCTTCTCTGAAACTGGGAGGTGATGGCCAGGGTCTTAGTCCCGAATTATAAACTCCACAAGTGACTTCAGATAAGGAAGTACTCCGCAGGGTTTCGAGATCCTCTACTGTTCCAGCCCCTGACCAGTTCAGCTCCAGGCAAAAATCTCCAGATGGGCCTCAAAGCCCCCGCCCGCCCCCTGCTGTAAAGGTTGACTAGTAAGCAGCAATTCATCTCCTTAGCAGTCTGGGCTGTTTGAGGGCTCTGAGGCACAAAGTGACCTACCAGCGTACTAGCGCCTGCTTCCCGCAGACTCCCAGTCTGCACTAGCAATTCAGGCGCGGTGGCGACTAGACTTAATCTCTCCCGACCTTGACCTTTTTCCCTGACCCAAACAAATACTCCTGGCAGACAACAAAGCTTTCCTAGCCACCCGAGCATCCCCAGCACCCAACACCCTGCAAAAAAGATGAAAGCACATTTAGAGTAATAAAATTTGATAAAGCCTAGATGTCCATACATGATGTTTAGATTTCCCTATATTGACTTCCTTGTTAGAATTGCCTTGCTGGAATAAATTACTTTCTTCCCGTTTTCGAAAGAAAATAAAACTGATAAGTAATGGTGTCGACATCAGCGATGATTAGAGAAGGTCACAGTTCAGCCTGGTAGCGTGCGGACCTCGAAATGGGCGTGAGGATCCCGCCCCCCGCCCACCTCAGGGTCCTCCCCACCACCCCAAGGGATTCTTGGGGGTGGGAAGGAGGATCCCCAGGAAGTCCTCTGCTCAAGGTCAAAACATTCATTTAAGAAGGACTTGGTCCCATCCCCTTAGTCTGCGTGAAGATCTTGGGTTTTGCTTGGCCGTCCGGGACAAGTTTGTTTCTTGTCTAGAATACTTTTCTTCTTATATGGATATTTTCAAGTCAGGAAATTAATATTTTCTTTTGGATGTTTTGGCAATGACTTTGTGAATTCGGGCCACTTGCTAATTTGTTTTTTCTTTTCATTTGTTTTCTTATGTTTTTTTCCTAAGTTTTTAAGAACCGAAGACCCCGGAAAGATGGCCCACTTCTCTTCCAGGTATGAGCTAATCTTGAAATTGTGATTCCTCCAGATTGCCAGTTTAGAGAATCGTGCCACACTTCTCTGGTTTTATCTTGCTTGAACCTTAAAAGGCCTGCCGATGTCGCTGCCGTTTTTCCTGAAAAGCCTGGACCTTTCTACATAGTTACATCTTACTTTGACACTGACTTTTTAACATTTTAATTTTTTTACATTTATTATTTTTTTAATGTGTGTGAATGTGTGGGCGCCTGGGTGCAGCGGCGTGTCAAAGTACTACTTGCTAGAGTGGGTTCACTCCTTCCACCACGTGGGTCCTGGGGATCAAACTCAGGCCTTCAAGCTTGGCTGTAGACCGGTTACTCGCTGATCCATCTAACTGACTCAACTTTATCAACCATGTTAATGACTGTCAGGCAAATAATACTTTCCTTCTCATGTATAAATAATACCAGTTTTGCAACAGAATTTAAACTCTACCTCAGTAAAAGTTAAAGATATCTATATATCTATATCTACATTATATATCATATATATAAGCTCAATACTTGTAAAACCATTAAGAATAAAAAATTTTAAGCCAGATGTTGTGGCCCTCTCCTTTAATCCTAGTTCTCAGGAGTTTGAGGCCAACCTGATCTACATAGTGAGTTCCAGGCCAGCCAGAGTTACATAGTGTCTTAAAAAACAAAGAAAAGAAAAGAGAGTCTGACATGGTGGTGGCAAAGGCAGGGGGATCGCTGGAGATGGAGGCCAGCCTGGTCTACATAACAATTCCAGGCCAGCTGGAGCTACAGGGAAGACCCTGTCTCAAAAAAAAAAAAAAAAAAAATGGAGGGAGGCCAGCCTGGTCTACATAACAATTCCAGGCCACCGGGAGCTACAGGGAAGACCCTCTCTCAAAAAAAAAAAAAAAGAAAAGAAAAGAAAAGAAACTTTGATCTGGAAACCTTTTTTTTTTTAAAAAAAAAGACAAGTTTAAATGAACGATAGTTTGCAAATGGAATTCATTAATAACAAAATACCATACAGTCATTTTACTATATATATGATAGATAAGCTTTTATTTGGGGGAGGGGAGTGTAGTACTGGGGATCAAATGCAGGGACTGTATATGCTAACCCATATAGCCTTTTTAAAATTCATATATGTTAACTGTGTACAATGGAAAAATATGTGGCTTATGTAAAATAGAAGATGAAAGGTTTATACCTGTATGGAAGAGGAGCCAAGACAACCACCGACCAGGCAACTCCATGAGGGAGTGGAGCCCAAGAAATAATGACAAGTTGGATATTGGTGCAAACAAATTCCTTGTTCCTAAGGGAATAGAAGTTCATTCTGAGCCATGAATGAATGACCATGGCCTGGGAGCAGAGTCAAGTCACCTGGAAAGTCCATGGAAGAGGGTACATGAGCTTTTTATTTATCAAAGGACAAAAGAAAATCTTAAGTCCATGCATTTACCACATCCGTTGGTGGGAAGATCAGGTAAGTGGGTTCCAGCAGAGCAGGGAAATCTCTTCTATATGCTTTCATAAAGGTGAGTAAAGATAGGCCAAAATAATTTTGACTCTCAATCTGCAACATTCCAACTCTTCACAATCACAAAGTCAGTCATATGCAGAATCTTCAGAGTAGGCATGAGAAGGCTGCTTTTGTCTTTTAAAGGGAGTTTCTGTTCACATATTTTGTTATTGCTATCACTAAAAAAAGGAAGGGGGTGCTTTGCAATTTCTTCTTAGGGTCTGGTGATAAGATTTCAGTTTTATTTGCTTTGTTTTGCTAACAGATCCAATTTCCTTTTCCTAGTGTGGTTTTGTTGGTGACCGTTTCCAAAGCTTTTGAATTGGGATTCGTTGCTGGTGAGAGTTGTGTTCTTTTGTTTGGGGTTTGGCTTTTGTTGCTGCTATGTTTCAGACTGGGTTTCCCTGTAGCCCCAGCTGGCCTGGAACTCCCGGTGTAGACCAGGCTGGCCTTGATAACAGAAGGATCTTCCCTGAGTGCTGGGATTAAAGGCGAGTGTCACCACGCCTGACTTGTGTTTTGCTTTTTGAGACTGGGTAGCCTGTAACTCTTGCTCCTTCAGAGTCTACAAACCCCAGTGCTACCACCATGTACAGTGAGAATTGTTTTTTTTCTGGTTTGGTTTGATTTGGTTTTTTGAGACGCAGCCTTGTAACCCAGCCTTCTTTGGAACGTAACAATTTAGCCACAGGTGCCCTTGAAATCCTGACCCTCCTGCCTCCACCTTCTAAGTTTGCCTCCAAATTCAGCAGAGTTTTGTTCCTTTGATCACCAACTTTTTTTTTTTTTTTTTTTTGGTTCATGTGGTGCTGAGGATCCAACCAAGAGCTTTACACCTGTTACCACTGAACCCTCTCTCAGTCCCAGCTCTGTCCTGTGCTAGGGATTAAACTCGCCACCTTGGGTACCCTAGGTAAGCAGCCTTCCATTGAGTTGTGTCCTCAGCCCTTGGTGTTTTGAGATAGGGTCTTACGATCTAGCTCAGGCTAGCTTCTAACTCAGGATCCTTCATCCTTCTGCCTCTTACTCTGGGAGTGCTGAGATTAGAAGCATGCACCACTGTATCTGTTGGTGTTTTTTGTTTGTTGTTTGTTTTGTTTTTCTTTTGAACATCCACATTTTTTGAAACCCCAGCTGGCCTGGAACTCACTATGTAGACCAGACGGGCCTTGAATTCACAGAGGTCCACCTGCCTCTGCCTCCTGAGTGCTGGGATTAAAGGCATGTGCTGCCATGCCCAGCCACCAGCAATTGTTTTTACATGACTTGAAATATATATTACAGGAGTTGATTTTGTCATTAAGGGTTGGGCCTCCATGAACTGGCAATTCCATCTCTGGGAGACCTGACCTTTAGAGATGACACCATTCAATACAAGGAGGAACCTGCAGTACGTTCTCAGTCTTTCCAGTTTGTGCCTTCCATGAGGATACAGAACAGTAAGACCCACTTGCCTTAATTCCTCTCCATCCTGGCCCTTGACACATCTCTTCAGTATTTTTTAACATTTCACCTAAGAGAGTGGATGTGGGATTCTGCAGATGGGTGGGTGGTTGACACTGGCTTGGATATAGAGATGAGACAGGCAGATGTATGGATCGCCTCCCTGGAACTTAGTTTTTCTCCTGATTACATTTCATGTTGGGAACCTAGTAACCATTACTGGTTCAAACATGAAAATTATTTCCCTGTTAAAGGTACAAGTAGCAAAAGATACACTAAAAAAGCAGTCTTTTAATATATTTTATTTTTTATGTGTGTACATGTATTGCCTGTGTGTATGTAAGTACATCCCTGTTGTGCAATGCCTGCAGAGGTAAGAAGAGGGTGTCAGATCCCCTGGAACTGGGGTTATGGACAGTTGTTAGCTGCCATGTAGAATTCAAACCCAGGTCTTCTGCAAGAACAGCCAGTATTCTTAACCAATGAGGCATCTCTCTAGCCCTTAAAAAGCAGTCTTATTCTGTGGGGTTTGCAGAAGACCTCCAGGAGATGGAAGAGCAGGATGCTAGATGAACCTTTTCCTATGGATTTTTAATCCTCTACCCTCCCCACAATTTTTCTTCTGTTTCAGGTAAGTTATTAAATAAAACCTGCTGTCTGAATGGAGGGACCTGCATCCTGGGGTCCTTCTGTGCTTGCCCTCCTTCCTTCTATGGACGCAACTGTGAACATGATGTACGCAGAGAGTAAGCCACTGGAGGGAACAGGACGGGGTCAGGGGAGACGTGGGAGTTACCAGGGTGGAGGTGAGAATACCAGTGGTATTATTATCTATCTCTTTTCAGGCACTGTGGGTCTGTCCCCCATGGCACCTGGCTACCCAAGCAGTGTTCCCTGTGTAGATGCTGGCATGGCCAGCTCCACTGCTTCCCACAGACCTTCCTACCTGGCTGTGGTAAGCAACTGTCCCTCTTTCCTTAGTCCTTTCTGTTCCCTTAATTGTCCAAGGGACTCCCTTCCTGCCTCTGGGCCTGGCACCCAGAGTTCTGCTTGTAAAATAGTACAGGGATCCAGATGTGGTAGCGCTGGGACTCCTTGGTAGACCCCAGACTCAGGGTCCTTGGACTGTGCTCCCTTAGATGTAAGGTCTTTGGTGGGTACTTTTTCAGACATATGGGTCCTTGCGGTGTTCCCTTAAATGTGGGGTCCTTGATGACAAGGGGTCATTGGGAAATACCTCTTCAAATGTGGGTGATTCCGGAGATGTGGGGTCCTTTGGGGTGATTCTTCAATGGGTATTCCTGAGATATAAGGCCATTGGTGGATGTTCCCTGAAACCTAAGGCTCTTGGGGTGCCCCTTCAGGTGCATTGTCTTTTGGGGGACATTCCCTGAGACATGGATGTGTGTGTGTGTGATGTTATACATGAGTATAGTCTTTGCATTATTTCTGTTTCTCCCCTTCTAACTTTTTCCATGTTCCCTCTACTTCCTCTCAGTTTCTTGTTCTCTATGAGCATTATTGATACGTACATATACATATGTGTGCACACACACACATACATACACACACCTGTGCGCGTGCACACACACACACACACACACACACGATGCACTAAGCCCATTCTGTGTTTAAGGGTCCTCACTTGGAATTAGACACCCTCTCAGGGAGCTAGTCCCTGGAGAGAACCAATTCTCCCTCAGTGTCCATTGATTGCCTGTAGCTCTTCATCTTGAAGTGGGTCCGTGAAATTTCCTCCGTCACTTTAGTATGTCACTGGCTTTGACATTGCATGAAGACATGAAGCTCTTGCGGAGATTTCATTGGTGTAACTTCCTTAATAGAGACACGGGATCTTTAGGGATGCGCTCAGGTGTGGGGGTCCTTGGTGAAGATGCTCCCACACGCATACCATCATGCCTCCTCAGAGTTCCTTCAACTGAAGACAGCAAACAGGAAAAGCCTATGATTTTTTAAAAAATTATTTTATTTATCTTTATTTTGTGTGTTTGATTTAAATGCCAAGTGCTTTCTGGTGTTCTTTTCTTTAGATAGGGGATCCCAACAGATTTTAGGATGGGCCATCTAAATTCTACTGATACTTGGGGAGGGAGGGTGCTTGATTGTTTTGGTTTTTGTTTTATGCATATAGCGTCTTTTTCTGTAGCTTAGGCTGGGCTGGAACTATGTGCTCTAAGCTGGCCTCAAACTCCTGTGAGACCCCCTACCTCAGCCTGAGATTACAGGCATGCACTACCACCACACTAGGATAGACCAACACCTGGACCCTGCTGTTATCTTCTGGAAACTTCCCTGAGTCCTAAAGGTCCTTGGTGATTGGTCATTGTACGCTTTATTCTTACAGATTTTTACTGATTTGAAGGAGAGTTGTGGGAAGAAGGGCAGGATCCAGAAGAGAGCAGGAGGATCCAGTGACTTCCTGCCTCCATTGGGACTGGAAGTTTTGGTTCTTTTTAATGATTTATTTTTATTAATGTGCATGTGTCTCCCACACATGTGCAGATGCCCTCAGGGGTTAGTAGAGGGCATCAGGTCCTCTGGAGCTGGAGCTATAAGTAATTGTGAGCCAACAGACCTGGGTGCTGGGAACCAAACTTGGGTTCTTCAGAAGCAGTAAGTGCTCTTAACTGCTGAGCTATCCCTTCAGCTCTGAGCTGAGTTTTTAAGGACACCCAAGTTTGGCAGGCTCTCCTAGTTCTCACCTTGAAGTCAGGAATTGAATGTGTAAAAATTTATTTCGTAAGAGCCAAGTGTTGCCTAATACAAGATGGAACTCCACCACCCCCTGTACAGAATCTGTCTCTTTACATTGCATCCTGGGTGTTAGCAAGTGGGGGTGAAATGATCGGATGGGTGGGAACCTTGTTTTATTCTTGGGGAATTTGGGATCCCAAAGATAGGCTGCCCTCTTATCAGAGCCTAATAATCAAAGTGACTGAAGGTGTCACTGTTAGGGTAGGGGACTAGGAGTGAGAAAGTGTCTAGGGGAGCCAATTAACAGTAAGTATGTCAGGCATGTTGCAACTTTTGCTGAAAGTTTTCAGGGGAGTTTGAATGTCATGTAGTTAGTACTGTAGGCATGCCATCTCCATCAAATGTTAGGCACTGGTGGATTTTTGGATACTATAGATAGGCCATGTATGAAGGCAGTTAGGGCAGCAGGATAAACTCCCAGAGGGACTTCCTTTGATTTTTTTTTTTTTTTTTTTTTTTTTTTTTAATAGTAAGAGCTACCAAGATTGCATTGCTGGGATCCTGTGGACCATTGAACACTTCTGGTTCATCTTGTACTTTTACTTTCACAGAAGCAGGAAGTATTAGGTGGAGAAATCCTGTGTGTTTTGTCCTCGTAAGCTCTTCATCTTGAGATGTCTTTACATTTTTCAGCTGAACTGTGTAATAGTCAGTAAACATTTTTCTTAATAGTTCAAAGGAGAAACCCAAGCTGCACAGAAAAACTTCCTGAAAACTGTTAAACTTGTTTAACATCAAACTCCAGCACAACAGGAATGTAATATACACAACTCTGCACACCAGCCATGATCTCAGAACTTGTGCCTACCAATGGAGCAGAGGATTCTACTGCAGGGATCCAACCTGCTCAAGTTACTCTTTGGTCTTTTTGAGACAGGGTCTCCCTGTAGCCCCACCTGGCCTGGAACTCACTATGTAGACCAGGCTGGCCTTGAACTCACAGAGATCCACCTGTCTCTGCCTCCCGAGTGCTGGGATCAAAGGCATGCACCACCACGCCTGGCTCTTCCTTTAAATTTTTAAAAAATATTTAATTTATTTTTATTCTGTGTGTATGAGTGTTTTGCCTGCATGTATGCAAGCACACCACACGTGAGTGAGCAGTGCTTGCAGAGGCCAGAAGAGGGCTATTGGATTTCCTGGAACTGTAGTTATTGTTGGTGGTAACTGCCATGTGGATGCTGGGAATGGAACCCAGGTCCTCTGGAAGAGCCAAAAGTGCACTGAGCCATCTTTCCAGACCCCAGAGGAACCTCCTTTAATGACCAAGCATCTCTCCCTTTCAGGTGGCCATGTGACGGACCAGGATCTTACAGCTTCCAGAACTCCAGAATTAGCACCATCTGTACCAACCACTTTCTTGCTAGCTGCCATCTGCCTTTCTGTGCAGAGTTACTATTAATCGATTTGCCTTTCTCTAAAAATGCACACGCAGGTGTCACATGAATTAGATGGCCAGTAAAGGCTCCTGTTCCAATGTCCTGAGAGATGACCGTTTGTCAGTTGTCTTAAAATAATTCACATATTTCCCTAAGGATCCCAGATACTCCCCCTTAAAACACCAACTGCTTCTTTTCTGTGCCCTGCTTCTTTCCTAAAAGCCCATTTTTTCCTTCCTTTCAAGCTGCACTCCTGGTTAAATCCACCACTTCATATGTGCTTAGTGCCCTGACTGAGCTACACCCCCAGCCAAAAAAAAAGGTCAATCCTATCTACCTTGTGTTCACATCCTGTGTGTCCCCTTGTTTTTTCTTTAATTTTTATCTATGTGTATGAGTGTTTTACCTGAATGTGTCTTAAGTGAATCATGTGTGTAAGTGTACCCATGGAGGCCAGAAGATGGTGTCTGGAACTGGAGTTACAGATTGTTGTGGAGCTGAACTAGGGTCTTCTGCAAAAGTAGCCAGTACTTAACTGCTAAACCACCTCTCCACGTCATCCCCCCACCCCCACCCCCTGCCACATTTTTTAAGATGGGGTATCACTATGTAGCCCTGGCTGGCCTGAAACTCAGAAATCCATCTGCCTCCTGAGTACTAGGTTTAAAGGCATGCACCACTACAACCAGTTTAAAAGACTTAAACTAAGACTTTTAAAAAGGAAAGCTAAAGGGACCTGAAGATGGCTCCGTGGGTAAGGTGTTTGCCTCCGAGTCTATTGACCTGAGTTTGATTCCTGGAGCCCTCATGGTGGAAGGAGAGAATGCCCATAAGATGTCCATGTGTACCCCCACCACCACACACACACACACACAAGTATGTGCTCTTTTGCTCAGTCTTTTCTCTAGCTTCAGAGCAAAAAGTTTTTAAAAATTATATCTTTTATTTATGTGTATGTCTGTATGTATGTCACATATGTGTGGGTGCCCCTCCACATGGAGGCCAGAAGAGTGTGTCAGATCTGGTACTGGAGTTACAAGTGGTTGTTAACCATCCCCACTTTTTTGTTGTTTTGAGACAAGATCTTGTGTAACCCAGGCTGGCCTTGAACTCATCACATAGTCAAGAATGACCTTGAATGTGTGATCAATCCTTTTTCTCCCTCCTGAAGCGTTGGGATGATAGGCATGTAGCACACCTAGTTTTATGCAGTGCTGGGGATGGAACCCAGGGTTTCATGCACACTAGGTAAGCACTACCAACTCAGCTTTACCCCTCCCCCCCAAAAAAAACCCTTTATTTAAAGAGTAATTGAAAGGCAAGTATGGTACACAAGTACACACTTGTAATCCCAGCACTGAGGATGCTGAGGCAGGAAGAGCTCGAGTTCAAGACGCCAGTTTAGTATATATGATAAGACTCTGTCTCAAGAAAAAAAAGTCTCTTATTTGCATGGAGATAATTCACAGCCAAGCGAGAGGTACAGACAACACAGGGTTTCTCTTTGATTTGTGCCACATTGTATGGGATTTTTTTCCCCCTTTATGTCAACTTTTTTTTTTGTCTTTTTGAGATAGGGTTTCCCTGTAGCCCCAGATGTCCTGGAACTCACTATGTAGACAGGCTGGCCTTGAACTCACAAACTACAGACATCCGCCATGCCTCTGCCTCCCAAGTGCTGGGCTTTTTTTTTTTTTTCCTCCAGAAGTAGCATTTCATTGCAGCTTTAACATACTCAATAACAGTTTCCAGAACAAAGATACATCTCTTTCAAAAGTGGCTATAAAAATTTTTTTTAAGGCAGGGTCTCAATATATAGTCCAGTCTGGTCTAGAACTTAGAATCTCCTGCCTCAGTTTCTCCATTTCCATGAGCACGAAGAACATTCACCTTGGGCTTCAGAAATGGCACAGTGGTTAAGAGCACGTACTGCTCTTCCAGAGGACACAAGTTCAATTCCCAGCAGCCACATCAGGTGGCTCACAACTGCCCTGGGGGATCTGATGCCTTTGATATCCCCTGGCACATGACACACACATATGCACAGACACACACATATGCACACAATTATAAATAAATAACTTTTTTTTGGCCTTTTTGAGACAGGATCTCCCTGTAGCCCCAGCTGGCCTGGAACTCGCTTTGTAGACCAGGCTGGCCTTGAACTCAAAAGAGATGCACCTGCTTCTGCTTCCCAAGTGCTGGGATTAAACACGTGCGCCACCATGCCCAACCTAGATAAATAACATTTTTTAAATATTTTGTTATTTTAGTTTTATGTATATGAGTGTATTGCCTGCGTGTATGTGAGTGCACCCATGTCGTGCAGTGCCACAGAGGTCAGAAGAGAGCTTTGGAGTCCCCTGGAACTGGAGTTAAGGATGGTTCATAGCCACCATGTGCGTGCTGGGAATCGAACCCAGGCCCTCTGCAAGAGCAGTCAGTGCTCTTAACTGCTGAGCCATCTCTCCAGCCCCGATAAATAACATTTTTGTAAAGTACATTTACACTAGTATGTGCTTATGTTCACACCCGTATTTGGTTTCTGTGTCTTAAATTTTTTAACATATTTGTGTGGTGATGATGAAGGTGGTATGTGTGTTTGCACATATGTCGCAATCAGAGGACCACTCTGCAAAGTCAGTTCTCTCCTACCTGTACATGGATTCTGGGAATTGAACTCTGATCAGCAGGCTTAGAGGCAACCACTTTTACCCACTGAGCCATCTTGCCAGACCTTTGCTGTGTTTTGACATTAGTTATTCTCATGGCTATGAAGTATCAGATTTGTTACCTAGGAGCAATCAACTTTTTTTTTTTTTTTATAGAATTTCGAGTAGTCCAAACTGGCCTAGGTAGCCTAGGAAAACCTTGAGCTTCTGGTCCTCCTGCCTTCATCTCCCCATCGCTGGGATTACGGGTATGGACTATCATGTCCCATTTGTGCAGTGCTGGCAATTGGACCCAGGGCTTCATGCATACTAGGCAAGTATTCTACTGACTGCTAACTAAGCTACATCCTCAACCCATCAACTCATTTTTAAATTACATTTATTTTGGGGGGTATTGCACATGTCACGACATCCATGTGAATGTTCTGACGACTTTCAAGAGTTGGTTTCTCCTACCATGTGGGTCCTGGGAATCAAACTCAGAATGTCAGGCTTAGAGTCAAATACTTTTACCCACTGAGTTGGCCCCCAACTAATTTATTAAAAAATGCTCAAGAGGCAGAGGTAGGCGCATGTCTGTGAGATCAAGGCCAGCCTGGTCTATGTAGAGAGTTTCTGCCAGCTGGGGCTACATGGAGAGGCTGTCTCAAAAAAGAAAAAAAAAAAAAAAGAACTTTTTAGTTTTAAATGTTTATTTTTATTATTCTAAATGGTGTGTGAGGAGTGCAGGTGCCTGAGTAGTTCATAAGAGGGTGCTGGAGTTACAGGTAGTTTTAAGTTACCTTATACCTACCTATTCTTAGCCATTGAGCCATCTCCAGCCCCTAAAATTTTTTACATCCCTAAAGCCATAGCATGTATGGAGCCTGGGGTAATTCAGACAAGTTTTAAAGTTTAAAAAAAAAAAAAAAAAAAACAGCTATTGTATTCCCCTAGCCAGGTGTGGTGGTGCACACCTTTAATCCCAGCATTTGGGTGGCAGAGGCAAGTGGATTTCTGTGAGATCAAGGCCAGCCTGGTCTACATAGCAAGTTCTAGGCCAACTGTGGCTATGCTGTTTCAAAAGAAGACATTTGGGGCTGGAGAGTTGACTCAGTGGTTAAGAGTACTGGCTACTCTTGCAGAAGACCTGGGTTCAGATCCCAGCACCCACATGGTGGTGAACAACTATCCATAACTCCAGTTCCAAAACATTCATACACATAAACTAAAACATTTTTTTAAATATTTTTTATTTTTTGCCTTTTTGAGACAGGGTCTCCCTGTAGTCCCAGCTGGCCTTGAACTCACAGATCAACCTGCCTCTGCCTCCCGAGTACTGGGATTAAAGACGTGCACCACCACACCAGGCTTTATTATTTTTATGTGTGTGCATTGCCTGCGTGTATGTAAATGTATTTGCATCGTGTGATACCAAAAGAGGTCAGAAGAGGGATCTGATCCCCTGGAACTAGAGTTAGGTTAGCTGCCATGTGGGTGCTGGGAATTGAACCTGTGTCCTCTGCAAGAGTAGCCAGTGCTCTTAATCTCTGAGCCATCTCTCCAGCCCCTAATTTTTTTTTAATTCACCTATATGCTATGTAAACTCATGAGCTAGAAATGCATTTTGAGAAACTGTACAAAGGATGCACATGAGTCGGCTTCTATTTCAGAAGCTTCCAATGCTCTCTGAGCATCGGTCCCCTGTGAGACCAGTAAAGACACAGAGGGTCCACACTCTGTGAATGGAAAGCATTTTGTTCTTTGTGTCATTCCATGAGTGGACTTGCAGCAGTTCATTCCAAACACTATCACTGGGTGTAGGGATGACTTACAATATGGACAGAATCACTTAACCTTGCACTAAAAAGCTACCGTTTATACTGCGAACAAACAAGCTCACTGAGCCATGTGCTCTTGTGGCCCAAGCATATGACCCCACTTTGCCCTTCACCCAAGATAGCAAATGAATGTGGGTGTACTTGAATCAGTATATCAAAGTGCTGAAAGCAGCGTATTCATATTTGTATTCTCACTAAGAGAATAATCAAGAAGTATGTTTGACACTGTGTATGAGATATTTCAAAGGGCAAGATTCTGCGGTAAGTGGATCCAAGCTTATAGTTCCCTAGTTCACACTGGAGAGACTGTTTGAATAAAAGTATGGGTGAGATCTGGTTCAGGAGCACAGTTCCATGAGACATCAAAAGGAACAGGTGCCTCAGAGTTCAAGTCCACTCTTGGCCTTAAAACTAATGCTAAGAGTCGAGCTGATTCTTTATTCAGGCATAACTGTAATGTGGCTTTGTTAAACTGCTGCAACTGGGGTTAGGATAACAGCTTTGCATGGTAAAGTGCCTGCCATACAAGTA